GGGGCGCTCTAGAGTCAAAAGTTAAAAAACATTACTAATGTGTCCATAACTGCTTACTAATGATGCACCCAAAATCTGGTGCAGATCGTATGGTATATCATTGAGATACAAGTGTTAGAATATTATAGGGGGCGCTCTAGAGTCAAAAGTTAAAAAACATTACTAATGTGTCCATCAGGACTACATAATAATACACCAAAAATCTGGTGCAGATCAGATGATATATCATTGAGATATAACAGTTTAAAAAATCTAGGGGGCGTACTTGAGTCAAATATTAAACAACAACACAACTGTGTCCATAAGTCCTCACTAGTCCAGCACCAAAAATCTGGTGCAGATCAGACGATATATCACTGAGATATAACAGTTTGAATTATGTAGGGGGCGCACTTGAGTCAAAAGTAAAACAACAATACCATTGCGTGTTTAAGTGCTCACTTATCACACACCAAAAATCTGGTCTACATCGGATGACATATCACTGAGATATAACAGTTTGAATAATCTAGGGGGCGCACTTGAGTCAAATATTAAACAACAATAACAATGTGTGTAGACATGGTCACACATTATGCCACAAAAATCTGGTGCAGATCGGATGATTTATCATTGAGATATAACTGTTGCTATATTGTAGGGGGCGCTGTAGAGTCAAAATTTAAAAAACATTACTACTGTGTCCACCAGGGCTAAATAATAACACACCATAAATTTGGTGCAGATCGGCTGATATATCACTGAGACAAAACAGTTTGAATAATGTAGGGGGCGCACTTGAGTCAAATATTAAACAACACAACTAAAATGTCCATCAGTTCTCAGTAATGACGCACCAAAAATCTGGTTCAGATTGGATGTTGTATCACTGAGATATAACTGTAAGAAGAATGTAGGTGGCGCTGTTGAGGCTCTTGGCCACTTATCATGGAACCCTGTTCAAAGGTGGATAATGATCAATCATAGTGATTTTGGTTCATCTGGGCTCAAATCTGTGCAATTTAGAGCCAAACGTATTGCAACGGCGTCTCTTTTTAATTCGCCATGGCGCCACGCCCACATCCTCCAGCTATAACTGTTTGTAGTTTAAATCAAGTCAGACCATCTTGTTATCTGTCTTCCAACACAGGATCATCCTGATTAGATTAAGGGTGTCAAAGAAGGAGCATTCCAATTAAACAAAGTCACTTCCTGTTCTGAGGGGGCGGGGCTTTGATGACGTCACAATATGACCTCAGGGTATCGTCGGGCATGGGACAGGGATGACTCGTGCCAAATTTGGTGCAAATCTGTTTTTCAAGTTGAAAGTTATAACGTTTGGAAATTTATGGCGTGAAGCTCAACTTTGAGGCCTGGCCACGCCCCTTTAACAAAACGAAACCGAAAGCTTTTGATAACTTTTACTCTCCAATGTCTTAAAGGCCTAATAACCAAGTTTTAAGGCAATCCTTCAAAATCCCTAGGAGGAGTTCGTTAAAATTCGCCATTAAAAACGCCCAAAAATTAACCTTTGACCCAAAATGGCCGACTTCCTGTTGGTTTTGGACCTGAGCTCCAAGAGACTTTTTCATAGGTCCTGAGAAGATACACATGTTCAACGAGTTTCAGAATTATCGGTCGAAAAATGTCTTGGGGCCGAGGTTTTAAAATACTCTAGGGGGCGCTATAGAGGCTATTGCGCAATTATCATGGCTTCCTGTTCAAGGGGCGGGCAATGATCGATCATAGTGATGTTGATGAACCTCGGATCAAATCTGTGGAATTTAGAGCCAAACGTATTGTCACGGCGTCACTTCTGACTTCGCCACGCCGCCACGCCCACATCCTCCAGCGGAAACGCTTTGCGCTTCAAAGCAAGTCAGACCAACTTGTTGTCTGCCTTCTAACACAGGATCATCGTGATTGGGTCCAGAGTGTCAGGGAAGGAGCATTCCAAGCAAAAAAAGTCACTTCCTGTTCTGAGGGGGCGGGGCTTTGATGACGTCAAAATTTGACCTCAGGGTATCGTCGGGCATGGGACAGGGATGACTCGTGCCAAATTTGGTGCAATTCTGTTTTTCAACGTGAAAGTTGTAGCGTTTGGAAATTTTTGGCGTGAAGCATAATTTTGAGGTCCGGCCCCGCCCCCTCAACATACGTCGGT